TTCATTGTTTCAAGAATAAATATTAAGAGCTCAAAGGAAGATGAGACCACTGTGGGCTAGAGTGGTAGTGAAGCAAGGCTTCATGGAGAAGGTGGGCCTGGATCTAGGTATGAAAATTAATACATTGGTTTTAAAAATATGACAACGGGGAACAGCACAAGTAGCAAGAGTGTGAACAAAGGATGGAAGTGAGAAAATAAGAGGCATGATTGTGAGATGCCTAAGTGTCTTAGAAAAGAAGAGTGGGGAGTGCTGTATGAAAGGAGAGAAGGTTAACACTTCTCTTGACAAGGATGGAAGAGACCCTGGGGCCTGACAACAAGCTTACAGTTAAGGCATTGCCACCCACTTCATGGCATCCAACTATCATTTTTATTATTTTGTTGTAATGAAACAACTACAAAAAAATTAAAAAAAAAAAAAAGGAGAAGAGTGGAGAAAGGCTGTGTAGCATCAGGATGTGGTGGCCGTGCTTCCAAGGGTCAGGAGTTTGGACTTGATTCATTTATTTTTTTTAAGACAGGGGCTTGCTCTTTTGCCCAGGCTGGTGCTGAACTCCTGGCTTCAAGCAAAGCTCTCACCTTGGCCTCCCAAAATGCTGGGATTACAGGTCACCGCACCTGGCCAGGACTTGATTCTTTCAGTTGGGAGAAGAACTAGCAGATTTTCAACAGGCAACAATATGAAGAAAGAGTTTGATCGTTCTGGAATAAAGATTATACTGGAGACAGGGTACAGGACAGTTTAGGTTGGTTTAGAGAACAAAGTATTGTTGGCAGAGACTAGCTTGGAAGACAGCCCAGATATAAAATGATAAAGGGTGGCTGGGTGCGGTGGCTCACTCCTGTAATTCCAGCACTTTGGGAGGCTGAGGCGGGTGGATCATGAGGTCAAGAGATCGACACCATCCTGGCCAACATGGAGAAACCCCATCTCTACTTAAAATACAAAAATTAGCCAGGCATGGTGGTGTGCACCTGTAGTCCCAGCTACTCGGGAAGCTGAGGCAGGAGAACGGCGTGAATCCAGGAGGCAGAGGTTGCAGTGAGCCAAGATTGTGCCACTGCACTCCAGCCTGGGCAACAGAGTGAGACTCTGTCTCAAAAAAATAAATAAATAAAATGATAAAGGGCTAAGATAAAGTAAGGTTAGAGGTTATGGAGAGAGACAAATTCCTCAAACATTGTAAAGGAAGGACTGATGGGACATACAAAGGATAAGAGTAACTTTATGAAAGTGGAACAGAATGGTAAGTTTTCAGAATAAAGTGTACATCTATGGGTCATTTATATTATAGTTTTTACTTCTAATGCCAAGTTAGTTGGAGTCTCTGTGTATATGGAAAGGTAGTGTGAAAAGAAAAGTTTAGATCCCTACTTTTTCAGAGAAAACAACTTTCAAAACATAATTGGAACACATATCTTAGGGGTTTAATGCTTATGCATTTTAACATTAAGATTGTCCTGAGACTTGGAAGAGGAATCTGCTGGTGTGTTTGGAAGACTTTTCAATAATTTTGTAGGGAAAAGCCCAAGTACTAACATCTTTAGTGATTTCACCACACTGTCAAGTTCTCTGCCAGTGGAATTTGAAGGAAATAAAACTACAGGAATTCATCAGAGATTTCCTAGTGTGCCCCTGTTGGTAGACGTGCTTCAGGAAAAGGTGAACAGCTCCTGGCCAAAGAGGAAGCAGCTTTCAGAAAACAAAGCCAAGAATAAGAATTGGCAGTACTCTCAAGACACTGAGCAACATTGTTCAAGACACTCTGGTCTTCCTGTTTTGTGGGATTTGCAAATATATTTTGCACTTAACTGGCAAATATTTTGGCAGCATAGGACTTTAGGTTCAAGTATATTTTTATGCAGCACCCACCTACTCTAATAATGAAATTCAAATATTCCCATCCTAATCCCCACTGTCTCCAAAACAATACAATTAATCCTTCTCTGATGGAGAGAATGACAAATTCCCTTCTGCCAAAAGCAACCACTCTTCTTTTTCCTTTAAAACACTGTCAACTATCTCCCTTTATTTTAAGGCAACAGAACAAACAAAATAAAATGAAGCTTTCTTGCATTACCAAGTAAGGCTAACTGATCTAGGATCTAAAATACGCTGAAGATGTGCAAAACTTGTGCGTACACTTGGAACTGTTGGCGACTGTGAGTGAGTATTTTATGCCTATGCTCTTGGTTATATGGAGCTTGCAGTGAGCTGAGATCCGGCCACTGCACTCCAGCTTGGGCGACAGAGCGAGACTCCGTCTCAAAAAAAAAAAAAAAAAAAAAAAAAAAAAAAAAAAAGAATATCTATAGCAAAGTTATTCTCCACGTCCAAATGGCACACTAAATATATATCATCAATATTATATGTTCTGCAGCAGACAACTGCCTGGCTTGAATTCTTTTTGTTTGTTTGTTTGAGATGGAGTCTTGCTCTGTTGCCAGGATGGAGTGCAGTGGCATGATCTCAGCTCGCTGCAACCTGCGCCTCCCAGGTTCAAGCGACTATCCTGCCTCAGCCTCCCGAGTAGCTGGGACTACAGGCGCCTGTCACCATGCCTTTTGTATTTTTAGTAGAGATGGGGTTTCACCATGTTGGCCGGGATATTCTCGATCTCTTGACCTTGTGATCCGCCCGCCTTGGCCTCCCAAACTGCTGGGATTACAGGCGTGAGCCACCAAGCCCGGCCAGCTTGAATTCTTTACAGCTGAGGTGTGTAGGTCTTTGCGAAGCAAACAAAATCATTTTCTACTTGAAGAAAAGAACTAGAGAAACAGAAGAGGAAAGAGAAAATTTGCAAAGTGATTAAAAAGGAATAATTGTATGTAGAGAGTTACCTTTTCTTTTCAAGTTTGGAACTGACATACCTTTGGTCCAGCTGTGACTTTAAGTTTTTCTGGTACGAAAGTAGAGAGTAAGTATCTCAGGGTAATCTGTAAAAAAAAAAAAAAAATCTTGTGCCACTGGAATAATTTTACTCCGATAATATCAGAAAAATTTAGTTGCCCCTTTGCCTTCTCATGTTTAAGGAAAGTCTTAAACATGAGTTTAAGTTTCTTTTTTTTTTTTTTTTGAAACAGAGTTTTGCTCTTGTCACCCAGGCTGGAGTGCAATGGTATGATCTCGGCTCACTGCACCCTCTGCCTCCTGGGTTCAAGCGATTCTCCTGCCTCAGCTTCCCAAGCAGCTGGGATTACAGGTGCCCACCACCACGCCCAACTAATTTTTGTATTTTTAGTAGAGACAGGGTTTCGTCATTTTGGCCAGGCTAGTCTCGAACTAGCAGGTGACCCACCTGCCTCGGCCTCCCAAAGTGCTGGGATTACAGGCATGAGCCACCGCACCTGGCCTAAGATTTTTAGTCAAACCTCTCAAGTTATATTTAAGCTCCAATATTCGAACATTCTAATTAAACCCCTTTGAATAAACAGTTCTACATTTTGTTAACTATGGAAACCAGCCGTGACTGTCAGGTTGTTGGGGCCCTGGATCATTGAATTCAGCTACTAGAATCCACTTGTCATTAACAGTTTACAAAACCAAAAAGAACAGGGGAGTATTCCTTTCTCTGGTCTTTCCCTTGGTTCTTTCATCTTTCGCCTCCTCCTGAATTCCATCCCCTGCTCTCTTCTCACCTCTCCAGTTCCTGAGTAATTTGCAATACAATCTTTTAATTACCCTCAATGTTTTATTGGTTTTAAGTTGGAACCCCATTAAACTGACATTTTGCTGAACACTAGTTTCATTAAATTAAAGAATAATTTGTGACTTAATAGCAGGCTAAATAAAACATTTTTAATTAATTAATTTACATCTATTTAAATGGAAACCTACCCTATTAGTGCAAAGAATTTGGGTGGAAAGGAAAGAGAAAAGGTAAAGTACAGAGTTCTATGCTAGTAAACTATTGAAACAAATATTTCTAAAAATATAATCTCTCGAATGTATTTTATTATTTATTTACTATTTTTAGAGACAGGGGCCTGGCTGGAGTGCAGTGGTGTAATCAAGGCTCACTGTAACCTCCAACTCCTGGGCTCCAGTGATCCTCCTGCCTCAGCCTCCTGAGTAGCTAGGATTACAGGTGTGTACTACTGAGACAACCAAGTATAAAGGGGTCCCCGGACAACCTCTGACCAGCCTGTACACTGGGAGAATGAGGTGGAAGTTTGAGCCCTTTGCAGTGGGGAGGAGCCTGGACTCTCTCCTGTTCTAGGGTGGTAACCTGTGATTCAATCTGTGAGGCGAGAGACCAGCTAGTAGGACTCTCACTTTGTTTTCAGTCCCTGTTTCCCCTTTTTCCTTTTCACCCAATAAATTCCGTTTTTCTCACCCTTCAAAATGTCTGCAAGCCTAATCTTTACTGGTTGTGTGACAAGGACCCTAAGAAGAAAGTCCTACAACACTACCATGCCCAGCTAATTTATATATATATATATATAGTTGTAGAGATGGGGTGCTCCTGTGTTGCACTGGTAGGTCTTGAGCTCCTGGCCTCAAGCACTTCCCCTGCCTTGGCCTCCCAAGGTGATGGGATTACAGATGTGAGTCATCACATAAAGCCTAGACTCTCAAATTTTTTGGTGGAAAGTTGACGGGGGACATTATGAGATTTTATCCATTAGTAGCAGATTAGATGGCAGCCCATGGAATACTGCCATTGATAAGGCCCTTTGAGGTAAGCAAAATGATACTTCACCGATATTCATTCTGTGATCTAGGCTTCTAAGACCTCTCTTTAGATTTTGCTGAATTTTAAAATTGCCTGGGGGAGCTTTTAAAAATCCCAAAGCCCAGGCCACACTCATACCAATTAAATCAGAATTTCTTCTGATTCATACTGGAGACTCCAGTATGCAGATAGTTTGAGGACCAGTACTTCTTAATACTTAATGTACATATGAATGACTTGTGGATCTTGACGAACTTGCAGGTTTTGAGTGTAGGCCTATACTGAGGCGCAAGATTCTGCATGTTTTAAAAATGTGTTTTTATTAGATATGGAACACTTCACAAATTTGTGTATTGTCTTTGTGTAGGGGGGCATGCTCATCTTCTCTGAATTGTTCCAATTTTAGTGTATGTGCTCTCAAAGCAAGCACAGACACTGCATTTCTAACCAGCTCCCAGGTGAAGCCCACAATGGTCCTCCCTGGTCCTTGAGTAGCTAGGGAGTTAGGAAGTATTCCCTCTATTTCTGTCTCCTAAAAGACATTATAAAGAACTTGTGGCCTGGCGTGGTAGCTCACACCTGTAATCCCAGCACTTTGGGAGGCTGAGGTGGGTGGATCATGAGGTCAGGAGATCGAGACCATCCTGGCTAACACAGTGAAACCCCGTCTCTACCAAAAACACAAAAAATTAGCCAGGCGTGGTGGCGGGCGCCTGTAGTCCCAGCTACTTGGGAGGCTGAGGCAGGAGAATGGCGTGAACCAGGAGGCGGAGCTTGCAGTGAGCCGAGATCATGCCACAGCACTCCAGCCTGGGTGGCAGAGCGAGACTCCGTCTCAAAAAAAAAAAAGAACTTGTACAGCTGCTTCTTTAAATATTTGATATAATTTGCCAGTGACTCTCTCTGGGGCTAGGGACTTTCTGTTTTGGAAGTTTATTAATTATTGATTCAATTTTTAAAATAATCCTGGATCTTTACAGATTGTCTAATTTGTGTGTGTGAATTTTGGCAGATTGCATCTTTCAAGGAATTGGTCCATTACATCTAGGTTATCAAATTTGTGAGAATAGTTTTGTTACTATCCTTTTAATGTCTATAGGGTCTTTAAGTGATGGCCACTCTTTTTTTAAAGAAACTTTTACTGACACGGCCTTTCTTTATGCAGCTTTCATTTTCTGACCTTTATTGATTTTCTGACCTTTATCAATTTTCTTCTCTTTGAAGAACATCTTTTGGCCAGACATGGTGGCCAATGCCTGTAATCCCAGCGCTTTAGGAGGTTTGAGGTGGGAGGATCACTTGAGGCCAAGAGTTCAAAACCAGGCTGTCCAACATAGTGAGACCATGTCTCCAATTTTTTTTGTTTGTTTGAGACAAAGTCTCACTCTGTTGCCCAGGCTGAAGTGCACAGGCATGATCAGGGCTCACTGCAGACTTGACCTCCCAGGCTCAAGTGATCCTCCCACCTCAGGCCCGCAAGTAGCCAGGACTACCAGTGTGTGCGTCACCACACCTGGCTAATTTTTTTATTTTTAGTAGAGATGGGGTTTTGCCATGTTGCCCAGGCTGGTTTTGAATTCCTGAGCTCAAGTGATCTGCGCACTTCAGCCTCCCAAATTGCTGGGATTACAGGCATGAGCCACCATGCTGGGCCTTCTATTTAAAAAATAAAATAAAGTAAAATAACTTTTAAAAAACACTTCTGCAAGACAGATGTACTGACAACAAATTCCCTTGATATTTATTTGTCTGAGAAAGTCTATTTCTTCTTTAAATCTGAAGGAAAATTTCACAGTATACAGAATTCTAACTTGGTGTTATTTTTCTACCAACGTGTTAAATATACTGCATTTTCTTCCTGCTTGCATGGTTTCTAATAAGTCAGATATAATTCTTATCTTTGTTTCTCTATAGTTAAGAATATTTTTCCCCTCTGGCTTCATTGAAGATTTTCTATCTTTGATATTCTGTAGTTTGAATATGATATACCTATGTGTAATTTACTTGGGATTTATTCTTCCTGGTATTCTTTGAGTTTCCTGAATCGGTAGTTTAGTATCTAACATTAATTTGGGAGAAACTCTTAGTTCATAATTGCTTCAAATATTGTTTTTGGCTGGGCGCAGTGGCTCACACCTGTAATTCTAGCACTTCGGGAGGCTGAGGTGGGTAGATCACCTGAGGTCAGGAGTTTGAGACCAGCCTGGCCAACATGGTGAAACCCCGTCTTTACTAAGAATACAAAAATTAGTTGGGCGTGGTGGCAGGAGCGTGTTATCCCAGCTATTAGGGAGGCTGAGGCAGGAGAATCACTTGAATCCAGGAGGCAGAGGTTGCAGTGAACAAAGATTATACCACTGCACTCCAGCCTGGGCAACAGAGTGAGATTCTGTCTCAAAAATAAAACACACACACACATACACACACACACACACACACACAGAGTTTTTGTTCCTTTCTCTCTTTCTGTAAGTTATATATTTTTAATCGTCCCGCAGTTCTTGAATATTTTGCTCCCCCTTTTTTGGGTCTTTTTTCTCTTTGCTTTTCAATTTCTACTGAACATCCTCAAGCTCAGAGAATCTTTCCTCAGCTGTGTTTAGTCACCTCATAAGTTCATGAATAGCAATCTTCATAGTGTTTTTAATCTCTAGCATTTTTTTTACTCTTTCTCAGAATTTCCATCTGTCTTATTACATGCCATCTACTTTATCCACTGGAGCTTTCAATTGTTTATTTTTCTTTTTTCTTTTTCTTTTTTAGAGGCATAGTCTCACTTTGTCACCCAGGCTGGAATGCAGTGAAATGATCATAGCTCACTGCAGCCTCAAACTCCTGGGCTCAAGTCATCCTCCTGCCTCAGCTTTCTGAGCACCTGGGACTACAGACATGCACCACTGTGTCTGGGTATTTTTTGTAGTTTTTGTAGTGATTGGATCTCGCTGTGTTCTGCAGGGTAGTCTCGAACTCCTAGCTTCAACTGATTTTCCTGCCTGGGCGTCCCAAAGTGCTGGGGTTATAGGTGTAAGCCATCATGCCCAGCTTATTTGTTTATTTTTATTTTTATTTTTATTTTTGGAGATGGAGTCTCGCTCTGTCACCCAGGCTGAAGTGCAGTGGCACAATCTCAGCTTACTGCATCCTCTGCCTCCTAGGTTCAAGCTATTCTCCTATCGCAGCCTCCTGAGTAGCTGGGATTATAGGCATGCGCCACTATGCCCAGCTAATTTTTCATATTTTTAGTAGATGGAGTTTCACCATGTTGGCCAGGTTGGTCTTGAAGTCCAAACCTCAGGTTATCCACCCACCTTGGCCTCCCAAAGTGCTGGGATTACAGGGATGGGCCACCATGCCCAGCTGGAAACAAATGATTTTTTTTTTTTTTGAGACAGTCTTGCTCTGTCACTCAGGCTGGAGTGCAGTGGGGTGATCTCAGCTCACTGCACCTGTGCCTCCCATGTTCAAGCAATTCTCATGCCTCATCCTGCCAAGTAGCTGGGATTATAGGCATACGCCACCATGCCAGGCTAATTTTTGTATTCTTAGTAGAGACGGTTTCACCATGTTGGTGAGGCTGGTCTTGAACTCCTGGCCTGCTATTTATTTTTTGAGACAGGGTCTCACTGTATCACCCAGACTGGAGTGCAGTAATGTAATTATAGCTCACTAACCTCAAACCCCAGGTCCCAACTGATCCACCTGCCTCAGTCTCCCAAGTAGCTAGGACTACAGCCACATGCCAGCCCACCCAGCTCATTTAAAATTTTTTTTAGTTTTTAATTTAATTTAATTTAATTTTGAGACAGGGTCTCACTCTGTTGCTCAGGCTGGAGTGCAGTCACGTGATCACTGCTCACTGCAGCCTTGACTTCTCCAGGCTCAGGGGATTTTCCTACCTCAGCCTCCTGAGTAGCTAGCACTACAGGTATATGCTACCATGCCTAGCTAATTTATGTATTTTTTGTAGAAAGAAGGTTTTGCCATGTTGCCCAGGCTGGTTTTGAACTCCTGCACTCAAGCAGTCCTTCCACCTCAGCCTCCCAATATGGTGGGATTATAGGTGTGAGCTACTATGCCTGGCGCCATTAGAGCTTTTATCATATTAATCATAGTTGTTTTTAATTCCCACTCTGATAATTCTACCCTTCCTAAAATATCTGTGTCTGGTTCTAGTGCTCTGTTTGTCCAAACTCTTTTTTGCCTTTTAGTATGCCTTGTATTTTTTTGTTGTTGTTGAAAGCCAGACATGATGTACTGAGTAAAAAGAACTCTAGTAGCTAGGCCTTTCCTGATGTGGTGGTGAGCGGGGGTGGTGGGTAGGGAGTAATATTCTACAGTCCTGTGATTAGGTCTTGGTTTTTAAGTAAGCCTGTGCCTCTAGGCTGTGAACTTCATAGTGCCTCTCAGTCTCCCCAACCTTCCACCTTAAATAGGACAGGATGGCTGGAGGGGTTTGGAGTTGGGTATTTCCTTTCACCGAGGTCATTTAAGTGCTCATCAAACCTCAATAGGTTAGCCTCTGATAAGATAGTTTCTCTTAAAGGCAGGTCTTCTTAAGAAGAACAGAATGTTCTGGTGTATTTAAAAATGGTTAATTTTCCCCTGCGCAGTCTGATGCTAAAGGGGATTTTTTTTTTTTAATCTTCAGTGTAAGAGCATCATAAAGTTCCAGGAGGTAAAACGTGGGCCCAGAAATGATCTTTTCAGTATGCTAGTGCTGATGAGATTCATAGTTGCTGATTTATAATAATTTATGAATCACAAGTAATTGAAGTATGAATCAGAATGGCAATTTATTGGTTTTCTTATGGGCATTCCTATGACTGAGATACTCAAGTTTCTTCCACAAGCAAACTTACCAGATTTTTTAAAAAAGCAGATGCACTTGAGAGCTTTTGCATCAAAGAATGGAAAATCCTTGTGTGAAGCTGTCTCCATTCATAACAGAAAAACTTCCTTATGCCTGGAAATTTTATATTGCTCTGATTCAGTGTTAAAAGTGTAGTTACGTATTCTCAGATTCTGGTAATTGTGATTAAAAATAATTAAGACACCACTTATGGGATGATTATTCTGTACTAGGAACAAGGAACAATGCTAAGCACTTAATCCTCACAAAATCTTTGTAGGTAAAGATGACTACATTTTGGTAGATTAGGAAGGTTACATGACTGACTTAGTCAAACTCACCCTCCAAGTTAGTAAAACGCAGAGGCAAGTTCCAATGCAGAGCTCTCTAGTCTGTTACAGTAGTTAGTTAGTCAGACATGTGCAGGGCAGGAGAGTCCCCCACCCCCAACCCAGGAATGCCAGGCCACCATCAGGTGATGGTCAGGCAGTTGTTACACCGACTCTGCAAAATAGTAATTGGTTGCAGCTGGCGCCAGGGAAAGGCAGTCTCCCAATAGATAGAAACACCTGAAACTAGTG